CTCCTCTCCTCCCACGTCTGGGCATCAGGGTTTGGCTGAGAAAATGGAGAAAGAGCCCCCACCCCCTCGGCAGTCAGCAGTTCGCCCCCACCCTTCAAAGACACAGAAAAGGACAAGGTGTGGAGATCAAGTTAAATGTCCAATTTATTTTTATAACTTGAAACCAGAACAAACTTGGTTTTGAACAAGCGTACACATGAAATGGCAGACACATGCTGAACTCAACATCGTGACAGGAAGGGGAAAAAGAGGCCCCAAATCTGGAATAAAAGGAACAATAAATATTTTTACTAAGCCATATTGAAATGACCTCCTGTCATCTCAACATTTTATCCATAATAAAAAAAAAAAGTGCCCGTTTTTTAAACAGAGCACAAATACCAAGCAATAATAAATAGTTTCAAACTTGTAGTAAAAGACAAAACCTCCAAGTAAACAACAAAAGCTCATACAATAAGTAATAGAAAAGGTAATAAAAATATTTCGCCTTGCCAGTACAAATGCGAACAACTGAATTCAATGGAACTTGGCTTTGCAGGGCGGAGAGACAGAGAGCACCAAGATCACAGAGTCGCCTATGTGCAAAACCCTCGCCTGACCGTTACTGAGGACCGGGATGGAGGCTGTGTGCTGGCTTTTCACATTTTGTTTAGAGGCCTGCTCCTCACAGCAGACCCCCTCTGAGGGCCGGGGCAGGTTCCAATTTGGGGCAACTTTGAATCAAGTCGTGGCAGTGTTGGAACCAGCCTGGGGTCAGCGGGTGGCCCGGCCACCAGGCCCCTCTCGCTGGGTCATCTGCTTCGGGGTTGGCTTATTAAACATGAAAGAGAAGCAAAAGGCTCTTCCCTGTGTGGAGAGACCAATCTTTGTGCTTGAGGATGGCTTAGTCCTGGCCTGTGGTGACGGGGAGCTGGTGAGAGCGAGCGAGCTGTGTGGCCCAGGGGGAGACGGCCTCCAGGGGGCCTGGGAGGGGGCAGCCCCGGGGTCTTCAGGTCAAGCAGGTAAGAGACCAGCATCTCAGATGTCCGGCCCGCGCCTCCCCCCCTCTCTAACTTGGCAAAGGTAAGTGGCAAGGGGCGGGGGGAGGCGTTGAACAGAAAACTCCCGAAGAAAGGTTTCTGCATTTGGTAGAGAATTGTCCCAAAGGATGCTCGGTTATCCTTTCATGACCTGAAATCATGGTTTCGTATATTTCCTGAAATAAAAAATGGCTTCCTGATATAGGTACATATTTTAATGGATTATTCCCTCATCCAAAAAACCACCACTTTATCATCTTAAAGCTACTTGGCTTTACAAAAAAAAAAAAAAAAAAAAAGGAGAAGAAAGAAAAGAAAAGGGGGGAGAGGCAGAAAGGAGACAGAAGAGAAGTGAAATTAAAAAATGAAAGGGACAGAAAGGGAACCCGGGAGGGTAGAGGATGGAGCGGAAACGCAGAGAAAGGCGAGAAGGCACCGAATCCACCCGGCCCTGGGCATCCGAAGCTCACGGCATGCAGGCTTGGGGAGAAAGGCGGCAAAGCTGACACAGATCCTGGCGGGGCGGCCCCTCCCCGGCGCCCCGCAGCCGGCGCCCGGGCCTCGCAGACGGGCCGCCCCGGGCTCCCCAAGAACTAAGGCCAGCTCCGGCCGCGCTTCTTTCTGCTTCTGTGGGCCGGGAGAAGTGGGGGCCGCCACGGTGGCCACCGAAGGGGCGGAGCTGCCCCCCGGCCCGCTCTCCACTACCTCTGACACCGTGCAGACAGACGGCCTCTTGGAGAAAGGGCGGACTGTGAAATGTTACGACATCTTTATGAAAACAGACTTCCCTCTCAACACGAGTCAAGAATTTCCCATCGGCCGCTGTGGCCGCACCAGGGAGCCTTGATGCAAGGTCCGGGGCACCCAGTGAAGCCCTGGGCCCACAGTCCTTCTAGAGGCCAATCGGACAAAAATATATACAACTAAGATGAGCTGTGAGCCGAAGCATTTAACTACTTTTGTTTCTTTTCCTCAAAGGTTGTCAAACAAGCCTTTTCCTCCTGTACAATAGGACTTAACATACAAATTTTTTTTTGCAATATTTTATCCTGCCAAATTAAAAAAATATATTATGGCAGCCTGTTTGTTTTTGTTTTTTTTTTCTTTTTATTTCCAAATTCACTAACAAAAAGGTACATTAAATCCCTTTAAAAGGACAAGCTTACAGTTAAAAAATTACAAGCTCCAGTAAAAATACAGCAAGTGCCTACATCATATGAACCAACCAATATATCCATTCCAGAGGGAGGTGGGAAGAGAAAAATAAGTACAGGTCAGAAATGTGTTTTTTTTTTTTTCTGCAAAGCAATAACAATATTAAGCACTTTTTTTCTACATACTTTTTTCTACATGGTGTAGCAATCCCCTTTGAATCCCCAAATACAAGTTTCTATACATTTTTTTTGAAATAAAAATTCAACACCCAAGGCAGAAAAAAATTTACTAAAACTCCGACTTTACAGTTACTGTGACAAGAACAAATTTATAGACCCACCATTTAAATTTTACTGCAACATCTTCAAGGAAAAGAAAAGGGTTGTTTTTTTTTTTTTCTTGTTTTGTAAAATGCCCAGGCATTCTCAATTATTACAAATACTGGTCCACTTTTACAGTAATCAAGAAATTTTAATATATATAATATATACTAAAACCCCGTCACCAAAAGAAAACAATATACACGCAGCCGCTGTGGCATTTCTTTATAACCTATTAAGCAAACTTTGAAAAAAAAAATCGCTCCAGCACACACACACACATTTTTTTTTACCCTTGTATGTATCTGTATGTATCCAATACTGTAAACGTATTTTTAAGACAGAGTGCACTAAATTTAACTTTAGAAAAAATGAGCTGTTTGTTCCTGAAGTGTTTTGTTTTGTTTTGTTTGTTTTTCATTCAACGATCTCAACTCGCAACTTGTGTCACTGGAGTTTTAATTCAGCAGTGAATCATCTCCACTCCGTGCCTAAGCAGGACCGGGCCCCAAGGAAAAGGGCCGAGGATAGCTCAGCTGATGGATGTCCACAGTTGTGCTGGGTTTACTTCTTCATTTGATTGGGTCTTATGGTGTTCTCATGTCCTCTATCTTCAACCAGGATTTTTAAAAATTTATTTAAAGTAAATGTGGCTTTGTTTGTTTCTAAAGAATGTATTTTTCTTGTTTTACTTTTTTAAAAAGTCTTTTCATTTCAAGAAAAAAAAAAGGTTTTGCATTTGTCTCAAGAGACTCAAATAGGAAGATCAGTTTTCAAGGCACTCACATCAAATTGAATGGCAGTAAGAAAAACTGTCCAATAAATTATTATTTTATTCTTTATAGTGCCAGTATTGTGCACGCCACGCTTAGCAACACCGACACTCAATCTCAGGTCCCTTCCAGTTTAACCCACCTCTGGGCCAAAGAGAAGACTAGGCGGCAATTTCTTGTTTAGAAGCCATTTAATTTAAATGCAAACAAAAGCTTTAAAGTGCAGGCCAACAGAATCCAAAGGTCTAATCTTAAGAGTCCAGTATTTAGTACCTTCCAACCTAACGGGACAGAAAAAAAACTGGGAAGTAGCACTGGGCACCTTCAGATGGGACCCCCCTCTAGCAAACACCCCCGCTTGTCCCTGAATTGTTTTTCCTTTTGTCTTTTCTCAACCATGTCAACTTGCAGGGGTTGGCAAGTACCCGTGGGCACACTGTCACCAGTGTGCAGTCGGTGAGAACACTGCCCTCCCCCACGTCGGGGCACTCGTCCACTCTCGGAGAATGACCGGCTATCTCTGGTGGCCACAGACCGTGGCATTTTGGGGTGGGGGGGTGAATCAAAAGGGGGCCAGAAGCAGCCTGGACAATCAGCCCCGTTTCCTCCTTTCTGAGTCCCTGGCCCCCAAAAGTGCCCCCCCCAAAGTGCCCTCAGCCCATTCTCACTTAGCCTCCACTACAGCAGTGAGGCCCAGCGCGGGCCCCAGGGAACCAGGCCCTCAGCTGCAGGTCTCGGACCAGGAGGGAACGCAGGGGCCTTTTCTGGCCGGCCCTCAAAAACTCGGGTTTCCCTGGCAGTGCTGAGTTTCTGGGGTGCCTCTCCCCCCACCAAGAAGATTTCTCTTGTCTAAAGTAAAGGTGGAAATCCACAGAAAGGCCTCTGTTCCTCAGGAAGTCATCAGAGCTACATCTCCATTTCAATTCTGAAACAAAGTGCTACAACTTTAAAGATTGTTATCCGCTGTACACTCCCCCCTCCACCCCCCCCCAAAAAAAAAAAAGAAAAGCATGCCAGTTTTTCTCTCAGGACAAAAAAAAGGAATATAAAAGTAAAGAACTTTAAAAGTCATTTAAGTGTTGGCTTCTTCACAAGAAATTACACATGCTTAGCTTAAATTTCAAAACAGCAGCGCCCGCCCCCCCCCCCAAATTATAATTTAAAAGCTAGGCTGCCTCTCTGCATTGCTTACCAGCCATCGTTCAGGCTGCTACTGGGTTTTAAAAAAAAATAAATGAAGAAGGGATGGATACCCAACAAAATCTTTTCAAGGAATTTCAACAGAAAGAAGAATAAGAAGTACCTGCACATGCCCCAAAAAATGACAAAATCCAATAAATACAGAAATTATTGCACAGTTAAAAGGCTCCACAATTTCGACTGCCTTGATCAACCCTCGGGTTTCCCTAGGACTTGGCGGGCTCGGGTTAGGTGGG